AACCAAACTAGTTCCAATGCAAATGTCATCCAATCATCATTTGCTTCAACATTAAAAAAAAATTAAACAAAAAATCATCAACTGTCTCGACTTGACAATAGCAATAGAATGGCAGAGGTATATAGGGATTTCCTTATGAGTAGTCAATATATATTTCAAAGTGTGGAGATATACAATGGAAGGATAAATCGCTCCGCACTTCCGCTATATAATAATCCATACCGAATTTATACCCATTTCTCCGAACCAATTTGTGAGCATACTTAAAAGAGACTGGAAAATGGGTGGGGAACAATTGTTTTGGGTCATTAACCAAATATTTTGAACTAAAATAATGCACTCAAGAATCTTTGACCAACAGACTATCCTTCACAACTTGAGCTAAAATAATGTTATCTTGACACGTTTTTACTGCAGTTGGAAACACAAACATTTTGAATTGAATTAAAAAGACTTCAAATTGCTGTAGATGTTGCCCATGGTGATCCATCTTCTAACAGACACTCCCAAGTCAATCATTTACTTATTTATTTATTTATTTATTAACTGAAACTAAATCAAGTCAATCATTTACTTACCTAGTTTCTTCCTTCTAAATAGAATCATGTTTTGAAAGTTATATTTCTTAATTTTGAGTCATATTATATGGACTTTTCTAGCCTTTGGGGCTAAGATAAAGTCAACAACAAATGAACAGTTTTGCCCGCATTAGTATTACTGGGGCAAAAGTCTGTAATTTCCAGTCGGTTTTGGAGAATTAGGAACAAGGGATGAGCATTGCAAGCTCCTTAGCAGACTTCTAATAGAAGCTTCCAATTTTCCCAATTCCAAAACCTTTTAAAGATATATTGTACTACAAGCAACATTACATAATCATGACCTTAAAATACTAAACATAAAAAATTACAGTTGTACAAATTATCTAATTTTATTGTTTGATTTTTTTTTTTTTTCATTTATATAAAATCTATTATGAATCAATTTAGTGTGGATGTTTTATCTTTTTCTTTTTACCCCCCAATTTTCATGGCATTTACATACCAAATAATTGTGTAACTTCCATTAGTTCCATGCAATTACAATAATGGTAAACATTTTATAATACCATGCATTTAAATGGTGATAATGAAATTCCTTGTAACTTCTCTATTAATTGAAAATTAATCCTTATAATCTTCTATTTAGTGGGTGTTAATTCTTTGTATTTCCTATCCCCTATTAACCTCTATATATAAGGCTTGTACTCTTGTAAATGTATGAAAATGTATGGAGAACAAATGGAAAAAAAATAAAAATAAAAATATGATATATTTTTGCATTACTTCACTTCATTTTTCTAATTTTTCTTCTTCTTCTAGTTATTTCTCTCTTTATTTTGCAACAAAATCTTATTTGAAAGAAACCTTTTTTAATTTTGAGTCTTGACCTTGATTTAATAACTTCAGCATTTATTTTTTTCATTTATATAGAATCTTGTTCGAAAGTAACCTTTTTTAGTTTTGAGTATGGACCTCTACTTAATAACTCCAGCAAAGGAAGAAATTAAGCAGGGAATTGAGGAATTAATGGAGATTAATTTCATGATATGGAGTAGTCAATATAGTTTAAACCTTGAAAATGCATAGCACAAAGCATATATCAATATTGCCCTATGTTAATATCACAAACTTTGTGAAAATTCTAAGCGTGGGATAATGGAAGTTAAAAAAATAAATAATATATATGGACAAAGAGAGCCCAAAAAAATCTTTTTGAAATTTATTTAACAGATAATTATGATGACATCGTGTGCGTTAAGATGTCTTGATTTTCATATTTCTTATGGACAAACTAAAGGCTTTGTAAGTCCAAATCCTGGTTTAGGAGCAGGTAGCACAAAAAAATAATGTGCCTTTTGCCGTATTCTATGCTCCAATATGAAAAATTCTTGTTTGCCTTGATCCTATTTAATCCATAGCTATTGTAGCAATTTTATATCCATTTTCTCTTAGTAATGTTCTGAACTGCTAAGAGAAACTCGATTTCAGTTTTTGAATAAATGTTGAAAAATAGATATTACATGAACAAATTAACAAACTTTTATTAGTAGAAAAGGATTCCATTTCATCTGGTAGTACTTTAAAGATTAGTAAAAGAAACCAACTAAACTAATTGTTCTTGTCTTTGTTGACTTTTCCAAGAAGAAGTGATTTGTGCTTTCGGATTTTGGATTCAGAAGAATTCTTTTTCTTAAAACTGCAATTGAGAATATTCATGTTAGAATTGCTAAGATGCCAAGAGCTTTCGAAACATAGAAAGAATTAAAGGCCCTGTTGATTGAGAAGAGAAAACTCACTTTTCTTCTACTCTTGTGTCTTCTTTTTGGAATTGGTAGTCTGAATGAGAGTATGTGGTGTCTGGTAGAAGTGATAATGAGAAAGCTAAAAAAAGAAAAGGGTGGAAGAGAAGGAAGTAACGGTCGGTCGGCAACTGAAATGGGAAGGAGTAATTTTGATTATTTCTTGACTTGAAAACCAAAGGACACACATTTGGCTGTTTGAATCATTTTGGCTTTGGCAGAGGAGAAAGTGTTTTTGGTCTGGAAAAAGTCTGAACCAATATTGAAGTGACACGTAGGACAGTGACAGGAGAGCAGTGGGGACAGTGCTTTGTTTTGAATCGATGGGACTCGAGTTTGAATTTTTTCAACTAGTTTCACATTTTGGATCTTATAAGGAAGGCCAATTGCCGTAAGGCCCATTATCTATCTGTTGTCAATATGTAGGTAATCGGCTTTATAGGCTGAAAGGACTCTTACAAGTTGCATCAAATCCAAGATTCCGTTACTCCTGTCCAGGCCCAGGTAATTTTCATTTTTAGTTTTAAACTAAAAGAGAAAAATATATTGTACCAATTTTTTTTGGACAAATATATTGTACCAATTAAGAATTATGTCCAATTCGAAATCATAAGGGTGTTTCTACATCCTTCAAAAGTCTCTCTCTCTCTCTCTCTCTTCCCCCCCCCCCTCTTTTTTTTTTTCTTTTATTAAGTTGATTTACTTTTGTTTTCTGTCTACAATTTGAAATTTTGTACAATTTTCAATTTAAAAAATGTTTAATCAAATTATCAAAATACTCAATGGCCACCAAACCTCAATATTCTCATTTTAGTTTCATGGTGTGGTAAAAAATTTGAAGCTTCTAAAGCAAAAAAGTAACTTATACGTATGGCAACCATTCTTAAAGTTGTGCTATTTTGTCTAAAAATATTGACCTAGGTATTTACTTTTCATCAACAAAATATAAAAATAAATTAAAATTTTAAATGCTGCAAAAAATAAGGATTAACCTACCATTCTTAAAGTTGTGCTATTTTGTCTAAAAATATTGACCAAGGTATTTACTTTTCATCAACAAAATATAAAAATAAATTAAAATTTTAAATGCAACAAAAAATAAG